GCGGGTGGTTTTGTCCCCTCTTGCCTCTACCAGAGCGGTGAGAACCATGGGCCTGCTGCACTCACTTCCGCCCAGTGTTGTTGTTTCCATTCGGTTGTGCTGAGGCCTCCGGTAAGGCAGGCACCCTCTTCACACTGAGTCTAAGAGGAGCCCTGCATCTGGGTGGTTCTTTCACCGTCTCCCATGATGCTGCTGCTCATGGACTTTCTTTAGTGGTTGTCCTTGAGGGCACTTGCAGGTTTCCCCTGGAAGTTTTCAGGGGCCCATCTGGAATTTCCTCGGGGAAGAGGAAAGCTCCCATCTCGTAGAGCTAGGAGGGACCTTGAGAGGTCATCAAGTCCAGGCCCCTGCCCTCACAGCAGGGCCAAGAACCATCCCTAACAGATTTGCCCCCATCTCTAAATGGCCCCCCTCAAGGATTGAACTCACAACCCTGGGTTTAGCAGGCAAATGCTCAGACCACTGAGCAATCCCTTCCTTTTCACGCTCGCTCAGGATAATACGTTCATGTGCACTCCACCCAGGCCCTCACAGCGCTTCCCAAAGTCCATTCAAAGCGGCGTCGGGCTGCCTGGTTTAGAGATGGGGAAACGAGGCCCAGGGACTTGCTCCGAAGACACACAGCAAGGGGAGGACTGAGCGAGGCAGAGAATCCAGGAGCTGTGATGCCTGGGGCCTCTTCTCACGCTGGGCACCTTTTTAAAAGTGAGCCCCTGACTGCTGTCCATCCCCCCACCTCTAGCAGAGGTGGGGCGCAAAGCAGAAGCCAGGGACTGAAACCAGAAGTCCAGACTAGGGTTCCCTGTAAGCTGTGAGCTTGGCCACCACCCCAGAGAGATTTAGGTGCCACTCAGATGATTAGCAGAGCACCCACAGCCAGCAGCATGTGTGTCTATGGGTGGTGCACATCTCCATGTGCCTTGGTGCACATCATAAAATGTATTCTGCACACAGGTGGAAAAAATTAGAGGGAACATTGGTCCTGGCTCCAGGTTCCCAGCTCTAAACCTAATGGCACACTGTCATGGCCCTGCTGCCTGGCTGATGAATATGCATAGCTTAGTCGCTTTATGCAAAATGGGTGATGTAACATGCCATTTTACACAAGTTGTAATCCGCTGAATCTGTATATCCTGTCTGTGCGCATGTATCTTTCTTGTATATGCAGTTAGGAATATTAAGTGGGAGCGTGTTATGAATCCAGGTGTTCTAGTAAAAGCCATTAGTGGTCCTTTAGGCACTTAATGGCTCAGGGATCAAGTCAAGGGCCTGTGAATGGCTTTATTTTTCCTGGATGGTTGGTCCAACAAAGACATGTGGCCATGTGATGCTGAAACCCATTTTGGATCGGGTACTTTTCCACTCACGGTGAGAAAAGTTTGAACTGAACACAAAGAATTCCTGCCTTGGCAAAGGGTATAGAAAGGGGGGAACCGAACAACAGTGGGAGTCGCCAGATGCCAGGGGACCCCCACTTGCCACCCAATCTGCCTGCTGGAAACACCTGGGACTGAGCAGGGGGGAGGATCGGGCCCAAGCGAGGAGGCAGCCTTGCTTGTGAAGGGATAAGTAGAACAGCTGGTAGGGTTAGACCCTGTATGTAACGAGTTTCTCCGCAGAGGAGGATTAGCCGGCGTGTTGTTTGTTTTGGCTGAGCAACTTACTTTGATCTGTTTCCACTTGCAATCCCCTCAGTCCTACTTTTTATATTTAATAAAAATGCTTTTTTTTATTATTAAGCCCAGGGTAAATGATTGTTAGCTGCTTAGATCTCCCCAGGGCTCTGCATTGTGCTCTGCTCCAGGGAATCTCTCGGGGGACTGAGGCCCAGCCCGGGATACCCTGAGATGCTCGTGTGCGGTGCTGTCAACCTGCCAACGGCACGACAGGTGCACGACAAGCGGCCAAAGCCTGCACGGCGATGAGGCTGGAGGCGGCGCCTCGGTGCTGGGGCAAGTGTAGCTGGAAATACCCCTGCCCCATCCCCCTCTTCACGCTGCTCTGCCTTAGAGTGTCTCAGCTTCCTGCCTGCCCCTCCCCCTGCTCTGCGCCGTCTGTTCCTACCTGTGGCTTCCCGCGTGATCTGACAAGCCAAGACAATAGCTCTGCGGTTCCTCCACTGCCTTCCGCCGCCCAGCGCGCAGGTCTGGGGCCGAGGGGCTGACAGTGAAGCGCGGCTCCTCTTTGGATGGGAAAGAGAGAATCGAAGCCCTTGGCTTCCTCTGGCGATTCTTTCCCCCTGGCTCGGTCGGTGGCTCCGCTCTGGGGTTCACCTCGCTGGGTCTGCTGGCGAGAGCAGTGTGGTCTAGTGGTGGGGGAGGGGGTTAGGGGGTTCATCATGTGCCTGGCACCTTACATAAGTCACTTCCCCTCTATTTCCACCCAGGGCTCTTTGCCTATTTAGAGTGTAAGCGCTTCAGGGCAGGGACCAGCCCTCGCTAGGTGTATGTACAGCGCCTAGCACAGCGTGCGCGGCTGTGAAATAAAGGATCATTGCGAGGACTAGGAGAGAGCCGCTGGGCTGACGGAGGGAGAAACGCTCAACTCCACCGGCTTAGCAAGTGGTGACGGCTGCACGGCCTGGCCTACCCCGATCTTTGAGCAAGCCCCAGGCTCCTTTCACCTCTCTCTCTCCCTGGCCGAGTCACCAGTAAGAAATACCCAGGGCTTATCGACTCCTGGTGTCTATCGCAGGGCCCCCAGCCCCATGCGAGATGTCCGGGCTCCGGGCTGTGATGTGCTCAGACACAATGGGAATGGGGGCCACATAGAACCACCGAGAGCTTGCCGCACACACTGACCGTCCGCTGGCCTTTGTGGGGACCAGGGCCTGGTTGGGGGGGGTGTCTAAAAGGGTTTTTAAGATTTCTTCGAGGTTGCCCCACTGCAAGGTGCAACATCTACCCCCGTCGTCCAATGAGAACACACGTCCACGTCCTCCCCCTCCCCCTCCCATTTCTTTAAACCCCCACTCCACCAAAGACCAGGGTAGACCCACAGCTGGGCCCTGCTGCTGCCTGCCCCTCTCCGGCCTCCCTTGGGGTCCCTGGAGACACCCGTGGAAGTGTCAGGCATGTGACAGCCAAGCAATGTGGGTAACGGTGCCACGCCGCACCCGCAGCTTTTATCTCTAGTCCAGGGCTGGCAGGAAACCCTTCGTTTCTCAGTCGCTCTGCTCATGCTGTGGTTGTAGCGAGGGCTGTGAACAGACTTTTCAAGTTTGCTTTTGCTTCGGAAGGCAGGAAATCAGGGAAAACAGACACCGAGTGAGAACACGCACGGTCTGCAATTCCCTGCCTGCAGGGAGGTGAGAACCCAGGGCCGGAGAAGGAGGATGGACGGGAGAATGTGACCGGGACGGGACTCTCTAGCCATGGAAATCTAAGAGCAGCTGGTCTGCACCTCACGGCAAACAGGTAAGGGAAGGGCAGACACCTGCCTGGAGGGGCCGGGGGGGATGCCACTGTGTGGGGTGGCATGAGCAGTCTGTGCTGGCTCTTTCAGAGACCCGGTTGGGGAGCAATAGGCTTTTGGGGGGAGGGATAAACCCCCAAACACACCGATGTACTTGCCGAGAGGCAGTTATGTGAGTTAGATGCTGGGAAACAGGTCTGTCCATCAAGTGTCCGTCGCCATGGCATCTGAGCGACACACTTGGGGATGGAGAGAGGAAGGCTGTCTCCTCGGCTTCTCTCGGTGGTCTCCCCCAGATCCCACTGTCTTGGTTTGGGGGTGCGTGGGCAGCCAGACCCACATTTTAGTCCGAGCCGGCCAGGGCTAAGCTCCAACACAAAACTTCTTCGAATGGCCCCGTCTCCCCAAATACTTATTGTAATTCACAGGGGAGCCCACTGCTCCACAAGCCTGGACTTCCAGGCCAAAACCTGGAGGGATGTCCTAACCAGCAGCCTTGAAACTGGACTGAAAATATGCTGGAAGGGTCTGTTGGCTGCTGGGTTGTGTGGTCCCTCAGATGGGCTCGAGGCAGGGAAAATCCATCCCCAGGATAGAACCATAGAATCACTAGGACAGGAAGGGGCCTCGCAAGGTCATCGAGTCCAGCCCCCTGCCCTCACGGCAGGACCGAGCACGTCTCGATCATCCCCGATGTTCAGTGGCTCCGATGTGAACGTCTCGGGTGCAGGCGCCATGGCAGGGCAGGCTGTTTGCCCAGCATGGCTCAGGAAGAGCTCAGGGCCCCATGCCCCTCGGAGACGCAGCCTTCGAGAGCTAACGAGAGCCGCCGGCCCTGGGCTTTGCGAAACCCACAAGCAACCAGACAGCAGGTGCTTGGGAGCTGGGTTTTGTTCCCAGCGCTGCCAGAAGGATCAAACCCGGGTGCTTTGCTTGCTCGGAGCCTAAGGGCGAATGGGCCGTTGACCTCGCTGCTGACTTGCGTTGGTCCCGTTGACTGAGCAAGAGGAGCTAGGATAGGCGTGAGCTGTGCCGGTCTGGCAAGCCACAGGGTCACTCCTGGGGTCTGGTCAGCAGGGACCAGGCAGGGAGTTTGCTTTTGTGGTGAGTGGCAACTTTGTTGGGCGCCGCTAGTTCTGTCTACCTGTAGGCCCCAGGGCCCTTGTTAAAACACGACTCGACCCAGCCTGAGCTAGCCAGGTATGTGGGGGTCAGAGATGTACACTGAGGTGTGGGGGCCTTAGGGAGGGACCCTGGAATATTCCCAGAGCTGAGCAATCGCTGCTTTTTTCACTGTACTGCCCCCCAGCATCCTCCCCCCCCCCCAAATGGCCTGGCACAAAACTACGGGAGGAAAATCAGCACACGCGCCCCCACAAATATGCGCAAACATGTACAACATGGCAGCCCCAGATGAACAAACAGAGACGCACAAAAGAGATGCGCCCAACCCCACAGTCACTCCGACGCCAACACACACACGCAGACCGCTGAGCCAGCTGCATAGACACCGGCGCCCAGAGAGAAAAACTGACAAACAGGTACCCACATACGCAGGCAGGCCGACCTGTTCCGTCACACCGACCACCGCTCAGAGGCACAACCATACGCTCCCCGACCAACCCACAGAGACAGGCCCAGACACAAATTCACACAAGCACACAGAGCCAAGAAGGGCAGACACACACACACACACACGCGCACACACACACACACACACACACGCAGGCCGACACGAAGGCTCAGCCACACAGACAAATGCAGAGACAAAAACAACGGCAGACACAACGTCCTCTTTGACCCCAGGTGTTGCTCGGCTGGCACGGCTTTCCATTGGAAATTGTGCGGTGGTGTGCGCATGAACACCCCCTTCTTCCCCCAGGGGGCTTGTAGGAAGCTAAAAACACAACCCTGGCATCTTTTGCTTTTTGCTAAGGCATCATCTTTTAAATGCTTGATGGTATCTCCAGGCAATGGTAGTCGGGACAGTTTGAGGTTTTTCTTCCATGAGGGCGGAAATTTCGCTTCATTGTATTTGTTTCTTCCTTGTTAATGGGAGACACGAGGCACCAAACATCCTGCTGACGTCAGCCGGCCGTAGGACGCCATTTAAAATACAGTGAGGCAGCGCCGTGTTTATTTCCCTCGCTCCCCGCGTTAGAGCTGATCTGCCCAAAGCGATCTAGCGCTGGCCTTTTGGCTTCCTTAGGAACCAGAGGCCTAGAAGTATTTGTCTTCAGGCAGATCTACACGACAACCGTTGCATCAACACAGCTGTGCTGCTGTAGTGCTTTGATGAAGGCTCTCTAAGTGGGGGGGGGGGAGAGAGAGAGAGCGAGCATCCCCCATCTGCCTAGTTACTCCCCTTCCTGACTTAGTGCTACCCACACAGGCGTTAATTCTGTATAAGGAGGTTGCTGGAGGTGTGGATTTCTCACACCACTGTATGGCGTAGTTGTAGTGAGCGGTGTAGGGGACAGCTGTCTTTTTTGACCTTGGAAACGTGGGTAATTACTTCCTGGTCTGGGTCAATGATTGGTTGTGGGTGTTGGAGATGCAGATTAGGATCTTTAGCTGAAAGGATTGCTGACCTACTAAAGCAGGGGTGGGGAACCTATGGCCCAGGGACTAGATCCGACGCCTGGCTTGCCTGGATCTGGCCCCTCAGGCTTGGGGCTCCCCCCTATCATTGGGAGGCTGGCGCTCCAGCCCTGTAGCCCCCCTTCTGCCCACACCTTGCACCCCCACTCCTCTCCTGCTCCCTACTTCCTGTCCAGCCCTCCCACCCCAGCCTGCTCCTGCACCATACCACTCTCCCAGACTCCTCCGAACCGCTCCTGCCTCCTCCACACACTAAACTCATTTTTGGCCTAACCCCAGAGCATGGGGGGGGGGGCAAAAAATCTACTAGCCAGGCCCCCTCCTCAAGTTCCGGTGTGCAAGGGGAATGACCCAAAAAGGGAGCCCATCCCATACCGGAGAGAGAGTTTATCCCAAGTGTTCGACAGGTGTTAGTGACAAACAAACCAATCCCAGGGATTTTTATACAGGCTCTGCCTAGAGTCAAGCTCAAGAAAGTCTGTCCCCCATCCCGTCCAAAACCAGAACGCCTTCGTTCCTGCACTGCGTATGAGAGAAGTCAGGGCTGTCTCCCTAGGCTGTGACCTACGGTTAGCCTGGGTTGAGCTGAAACACATGTCCTTCATTTGGGGGTCCTACCAGCAGGGCAAAGCCATTTTACAGCAGCCAATGCAAGCTAGTCCTCCAATGCTGTCCCACAGTTCCCTAGAAACACCTCCAAGGAGGTCTGCCCTTGTTCAGTTTTCACTTCTTTGGTATTAGCCTGGGTCTACCCTGGGAAGGTTTGGTGACAAAGGTGCTGTCGACGTGCAAAAGTTGCCAAAAGTGAACACCGGTCAAACAGGTTTTGCTGCTTCCCATTGTCAACATTTCAGGGCCACATGGCTAGCACCTCGTGGACAGAGGCAGCAAAGCAACGTGGGTAACATCTCACAGGGCAGTGTTGTGAGAAAGCAAAGCTGATTCCTGAGCCTCTTGGGATTCCCGCTGAGCTCTCCCACAGCATTCCCAGCTGCCGGGAGCAGCCTCGTGAGTAGCTCTGGGAGCTCTCCGTGCTGAAGAATGGCAAAGCAGCATGGCCGTCTCTCCAGCCCTCCCCCTACCATGGCAGCTTGCCTGCTGCTGTGTTCCTAGCTGGACAGAACAGGAGCACTCCAATGATTTGCTCTTTGTTCCCCAAACGTTGCATCTCACTCAGCTGTCAGACACTTCCTGGAGCTTTGGAAGGGGAGGGGCGCATGCCTGCAGGGCAGCAGAGATCACAAAACACTGAGCAGAGCCATCAGGGCAGGCATTGTGGAATACTGGCACTAGACAGTTCTCCCAACAAAACAAACAGCAGAGTCCACACTGGCTCTTTGTTGACAATAAAGGGAGGGGAAAAGACAAAAGTTTCTCACAGGGCCGGAAGTTTTTTGTTGCCACAGTGGGGTGTTTTTCCTGACAAAAGTTGCATGGCAGTGTAAACGCTCTCCCTATTCTGTCACCAAAAGTTAGTTTTTGGTTGAATTCATCTGCCAATATTATGGCTTCCTCGGGAGCGCTCTGATGATCTGAAAATCAAAAAGGGAGTCTTACAAAAAACTGGAAACATGGTTAGCCAATTGCTAAGGCGGGGTTACAAAAGAACAGCACGAGCATCCAGGGGTAAAATCAGAAAGACTAAGGAACACCGTATAGGGAGTTGTACGTAGCAAGGAAAACAAAAGGCTCTGAGAAGAGGCTCTATCGATACATTGGAGTAGGGATGTGAATGGTTAACCAGTTAACCAGTAAGCTTCACTTTTAATGGGTGAGGCTTACTGGTTCCAGTTAACCGGTGGGGGCTGGAGCAGCTCTCTGCCCATCACAGGCAGGGGTGTTCCAGCCAGGCCGGAGTAGCTGCAGTCCATGGCGGGGGGCCGGGGGTGCTCTATTAATACACTATGTTTCACCGGTTAACCAGTTAAACTGGATTTTACATGGATCAAGAAAAAGCTGAAGAAAAACCTAAGTTCTCTACTCAGGCTATGCCTAGATTGCAGGCTTCTTTTGGAAGAAGCTTTTCCGGAAGAGATCTTCTGAAAATCTTCTTCTGAAAGAGAGCGGCCACACTGCAAAAGCACATCGAAAAAGCCATCTGCTTTTTTGAGAGTCTCTACACTGAATGGACGCTCTCTTGCGTGTAAGCTGTGATTACTACGGACAAAATGGCCCCCAAGGCACCTGTGCTTTTTCCTCTTTCCCCTCCTTCCGAAAGGAACTCCCTCTTCCCCGGCCACGCACACACACCTTTTTGCGAAAGACTTGTTTCGCAGAAAGGCTTCTTCCTTGTAGAATGCAGGAGAATGCAGATTCTTCCTTGTAGAATGCAGATTACTAATGCTGGAACAATCCCTCTGTTCTTTTGATTTCCAGTTGCTTCAGAAAAACGGCCGTTTTC